GCAGGTGCAGGTGCTGGTGCTGGAACCCGCTGGGCCTGCCGGGCAGGCGGCGGTTGCATAACCTGCCCCGGGCTCAGTGCGGGCCCAGGTCAGTGGCCCCGAAAGACAGGGCCTGGCTCCTCGGCCATTCACTCTGTGTCTCTGCTCGGCCCTCAGACACGCGGTCACTGTGTACGTGTCTCCCAGGTGCACCTGGTCACCTTTCTGGTTTCCGTGTTGGCGGCACCGGCACCCGGACTTGGTGCCAACTGTTCAGAAGGTGGCCTTGCAGACACGCTGACATTTCTATGGGCGATTTGATTTTCTCTAACTCATCCAATTTGTCTTTGACAAAAAGTAACTCATTTGTCAGAAGAGGACCGCGAGTCCTTAATTAAGAGCATTTTCTCTCCTTTCAGGTCGAAGTGTTGTATTTTGCAAAAAGTGCTGAAATCACAGGGATTCGCTCGGAGACCATATCTGTGCCCCAAGAAATCAGAGCATTGCAGCTGTGGAACGAGATAGAGACGCGGCATCCGGGGTAGGTACACATCGTGGAATACGTACAACAGACACTTTTTAGCATTCTAAAGAATGTGTAAATGGGTAAATGGTCAAAGTGAGAAAAGTTAATTTTGTTTCCCCTAATGTCAGAGAGGGTCATTAGTTCTGCTTCTCTGGAACCAGAAACGTAAATCCTAGTTTAAAATGCACAGCTCCGTAAGGCGGGTTAGAGACAGTTGCCGAGGAGCGCAGTGAGCTGGGTGCTCCCAAACGGACATGCTCATGTCTGCTTTTGTAATTTCAAAACATCGAACATGTAGATTCTGCATTTTCATAGCAGTAAGTGAAATTGTTACAAATTCTGTTAAAATGTGTGCTTGAGACTTTTATGTCCTGCCACTTCTTCAGAGAAGTCAAAATAGAAATTTCTAAGGTTAAGAGAAAAAGGAGATACCAAACCCCAGGGTTTTGGATTTGCTGCATTTGCATTTTGTAATAGCCGATTTAATGTCCCTACCTCAAGTTGTTTTGGGGACAAATTGTAACAGTGGCTTCTTAGAAGGTGTTCAGGAGTATTGACGATGTCACTTAGTCCATATAGATGTTCAACGTGTAAGAGAAACTCCACAATGCGTGTTCAAAAACTACTCATTTTGTATTTTATATCTTTTAAATTGCTCTTAAAGTGCCCTGATAATCCATGACACATGCGGGGCCTCTATCCCACCTTTAACCTTTAACCTTTCACCTGCCGGGAGACACCTGTCTTGTGGGACTTCTGGGGTCCACTTAGTAGGCTGTACACTTAGAAGGCTCCTGGAATTAGGGCATTTTTCTTCTTTCTTTCTTTTCTTTGACCTGGTCTGAACGTTAACGTCAGTCTAGGATTTAATTCTCTAGGACACACAGCAGCCAATACGCGTTGTTGGCAGTTTCCTGTGTTCTTGGTGGTGAATGTGTGTATTCATTCTTCAATGGATGCGTCCTTTCTCTCAGAACATGAGTTCCTTCAGTTACAACTGCAGGCGATGCTACAAAGTAATATTTATGTCATATTTTTTTTGTTTCTTTAATCCTCACCTGAGGGTATTTTTCTGTTGTTGATTTTTAGAGAGTGGAAGGGAAGGGCAGAGAGAGAGAAACATTGATGTGAGAGAGACACATCCACTGGTTGCCTCCCACACGGGCCTCACCCAGGGCCAGGGATCCAGCCTGCAACCGAGGTATGTGCCCTTGACGGGAATCGAACCTGCGACCCTTCAGTCTGCTGGCCGACGCTCTAGCCACTGAGCCACATTGCCCAGGGCTTCTGTCACCTTTTTCATGGGAGACCTTGGAGGCCTCGCACAGCACTGACGCTTCTCACTCTGCTGCTTCCCTCAGGTTGGCTGATGTCAGGAACCAGGTGATACTGGCTGTGCGTCAGGAATATGTCGAGCTTGGAGATCAGCTCCTTCTGCTTCGAGCAGGAGACGAAGTCGCCATCATCCCCCCCATTAGTGGAGGCTAGTGCTGGGGGGCCCCTGGAGCATGTGCGGTGAGTGTTCCTGTCCCTGGAGAAGGGTCACACAGGGGTCACCTGCGTGCAGATCGCTTTGCCTGCACCCTTTGTGAGTCTGTGTGCACGCGCTCTCTGTCACAGCGCAGCCCGGCGTCGGTGCAGACAGACTTGTGCCGCCTCCCTGCCGTCTCTGCTTCAATTCTGCTGTCAGCAGCCTCACTCAGTGTCCCTCGGATGTGCTCATCCTCTTCCCTTACACGGATTATTGGGACTTTCTCGTGTGTCAGGCACGGTGTCGGACACTGTTTTGCAGGAGGAAGAACTGATGTTCAGAGAAGGAACAGAGCTGGTCTGTAAGTGGCAGAGCCAAGGCCCGAGGCCAGACGGTTGGACTCTGTGCTTGTTCACTGATGCGCTTACTGGTGCCGGGTCGCAGCTCCCTGGGCACGGAGGGTGGGGAAACATTACATGCCCGGCAGTGAGAGGTCACTGTGCCTAAAACGGACGCCTACCACTTCCCAGGGATGTGAAAACGCAGCTTTATTATTTAGCTGCTGCAGGTGGGCCTCGGACCCAGGCCATCGCTCTGTCTTTCCAAACACAGCGTCCCTGAGTGGAGGGCGTATAAGAACGATTCTCCGTGTAGTCTGGACACACAGACGGAATGGGGCTTAATTTATTGTCAGCTGACGAGTACATGACGTAGAGACGAGCAGTCATGCCAGTAAGACGCTTCGGTAAAGTTAGGAATGAAGGAGAACGTCTCGCTTGCTGGGTTTCCCTCCAGAATCAGAGGGACCGTCAGCTCAGCGGTAAATGCTTGGTTTCGTCACAGAAAGGAACAAGCCGAGGATGCCTGATCACGTTTCACCCGCTTTCCCCACGCTCTTGCGGAGGCCAGTGCCCCAAAGGGAAGGATAAATATCGCAAAGCAGATTGCCCACCATGGCCGTAAAGATGGGCTCTCTCTTAGCCCTACTATTTAGGGATAATAGAAGGCTTCCATGCCAGTGCCCCAAAGGGAAGGATAAATATCACAAAGCAGATTGCCCACCATGGCCGTGAAGATGGGCTCTCTCTTAGCCCTACTGTTTAGGAATAATAGGCTTCCGTTAGACATGTATCTGTTTTATTTGGAAACTGTGGTCACCTTATCACCTCCATGATTTTAGAAAAGTGCTCTTTTTTGGAGTTTGGAATTTATTCAGAAATAATGGGCTGGCATTGAAGTTAGGGGTGTGTGTGTGTGCGTGCATATGTGTGTGCGTGTGCGTGAGCATGTGTGCGTGCGTGCGTGCACATGCATGTGTCTGAGCGTGCGTGTGTGCATGTGTGTGCGTGAGCATGTGTGCGTGCGTGTGCGTGCATGTGTCTGAGCGTGCGTGTGCGTGCATGTGCATGTGCACATGCATGTGTCTGAGCGTGTGTGTGAGCATGTGATGATTAGAGCTGCTCTTGGAAAGATGCAGAAGTTGACTCGACAGCTTGGTGATTGATTAGTGTGTTTGACACACATGGCTTTAGGTCCTCACAGAACCAGTGGGGGCGCTGGCATGGCTTGAAGTTCAGAGACTGGTTGGCTTGCGTGGGTCTTATTGCAAGAAAAGGGGGTGGAGGAGGCTCGGGGCGTGTGGGCGGTTGAGCGTCCTGGATCAGTGTCTAGGAGTGACCACTCATTTCTCTTCAGGGGCGGAGGGGCCGGGCGGGAACACTGGCTTAGGACGGCTCCTTGGTTGGAATCACCTTGAGTGACTGACTCCCTCGCTCCTCCAGTCTTCTTCCTCTCCTCTCCCGTGCGGGTGAACCCCCAGGATTTAGGATTTTACCCACACTCCTCACGGCCTGCAAGGTCCACCTACCTGCCCCGCCCCAGCCCCCGCTCCCTGGCCCGTGTCTAGTGCGTGGGTGAGTCCCCGCAGGGAGCAGGCCCCAGATGCTGCTGGGTGACTGGGCGGTGCACGGCGAGGACCCCAGCGCTCTGCATAGGCAGGCACTTCCCCCTTTTATTCCCTCGGCGCCTTTGCGGGTCGTGCCCACAGTGAAATGAGCCCGTCCCTTTGCGTCACCACTTCTCTCCCCCGGAGCCTTTGTGGTAAAGGAAAGGGCGGCTCCAGGCGTGGTTTGGTGACAGCGGGGAGAGTGATGTGCGTGAGGCTGAGCTGTCGAGATCTGGACCATCCGGGACGGGAGAGCCCTCAGAGGAGCAATTCCGAAGGGGGATGAGGTGGGCGTCAGGGATAGTTTATGCTTTAAGACTCAGCGGTTCTCAACCTGTGGGTCGCAAACAATGAAAATACATCCTGTGTATCAGATATTTACGTGACGATTCATCACAGTAGCAACATTACAGTGATGAAGTAGCAACGAACGTAATTTTATGGTTGGGGGTCCCCACAACATGAGGAACGGTATTAAAGGGTTGCGGCATTAGGAAGGTTGAGCACCACTGCCAGTGGTCATGTTCATGGTAAACTCCTTTTTATATCATGCTCGGCTCAGGGATAAACACTGTGGTTGTTTTTTTTTTAATTTCACGTTTATTTGTATCATTCAGATCAGATCGTGCCTCCTAGCACCTCTCATGTAGAAAAGCATGACTGGACATGCAGCCTGTAGCTTGGTGATTGCCTCTGGCACCACCGTTAAGGTCTGTTCATACCTCATTTCTAGGGAAGATGTGGGTGAAGATGAAGAGAAACCTAAAGATATCATCAGGTTCACCGCCGAGAAGCTGTCCGTGGAGGAAGTCTTGCAGCTGGTGACGTCCCCGCTCTGCGGCGCAGTGTCCCTGTTTGTGGGTGAGTGTGTGTCCCCACTCCCATGCCGGCACGAGGCCGTAAAGGCACGGGTGTCCCATGTCCAGTGTCCAGTGTGAGGGCGGGATGTTAAGACACTGAGCCACGATGACCGGGTGGGGGTCAAAGTTTCCAGCTTTTGCTTTGTGTTAGTTAATCGTCAAATGAGCATTTAAAGGCCTACTAAGAGCAGGACAGACGTCCTTAGCAGAGAGCATTCTGTGTTTTCCAAACATCCAGGGGAAATGGTGGCAGTGATACTTCCATGATTACCCGGAACGTGATGCGTTCCTCTAAGTGGCAAACGCCGCCGGAGAAGAACTCTGCTGCTTTGTCACGCGAGAGTCTCCGTCCGCCTGCCCAATCCGCGCGTCTTATCTTCTTACCTTTGCGACGGTTATCTTTTGTTTTTCTCATCATGTTCATTTTTAGAATATTGCAACGTAATCGTTAGATCTGTGTGCTACTTGTCTATCCCAAAATAACCCTGTTCTTGCCCTGGCCGGTGTGGCTCAGGTGGTTGGCTGTCGTCCGTGCACCAAAGGGTCACCGGTTCAGTCCAGGTCAGGGCACAGGCCCGGGTTGCCGGCTCGATCCCCAGTAGGGGGCGTGCAGGAGGCAGCCAAGCGATGTTTTGCTCTCACATCAATTTTTCTCTTTCTCATCGATGTTTCTAACTGTCTATCTCTCTCCCTTCCTCTCTGTAAAAAATCAATAAAATATATTAGCAAAAAAATATAAAAAAATAAATAAATAAATAAATAAAAATATATTAAAAAATCAGAACCCTTTTTACTGTGCCATTTCTACTATAAGGAGAAACCTTGTCTAATCGCCTTTCTTTCTTCTTCTTAGGGACCACAAGGAATCACTTTGAAGGGAAAAAAGTCATTAGCTTGGAGTACGAAGCGTACATACCGATGGCGGAGAATGAAGTCCGGAGGATTTGTGGGGACGTGAGGCGGAAGTGGCCGGTCAGGCACATCGCGGTGTTCCACAGACTCGGGTACGGCGCCCTCATGCCCTGCCAGCTCCCCTCCGTGCGGGCGCGGACCCTGCGGTGTCAGGTCCTGGCTCCGGGGAGAGGAGTTAGCGTGTTTCCTGGCAGACGGTGGAGGTTAAGGCTGCTTGTTCCGTTGTAACGTTTGCAGTGCCAGCTGCTGTGCCAGGGCCCAGGTGGGCAAGACCCTTGAGCCCGGCCGCAGGGCTTGTGTTGACCGGGGGGGAAGTCCCAGAGGCCGTTAGGGAATGGTCTTCTAGTCTGGACTCTGTTTATATGAAGAAAAAAGACTTTAAAGTACATGCCCTGGGAGGACATTAGATTCGTTTGCCTTTTGTGTCCCTAAGAAGAGTGGGTTCCAGGCTTTGCAAGCGCCCAGCAGGGGAGACTGTCGTCAGGCGCAGCGAGGTGCTGCTTTGTCACGGCGGCTGTCCTTGGATTACAGCGCTAGTGGCCTGTCCGCTGTGTGTTGCTGTTGGACAGTTAAGTTCTCTGCTGCTTCGCCAGCTGGTGACGTTTCTCCGGCGCCGCCGGGCGCTGCACCTGTTCGTTTGGCTCAGGCGTTGGTTGACCTGGAGGCCACGTAGGAAGAAGGGGTGTTAGTTCTGGGAGCTTCTCTGGGATTTCTCTTCAGGGGTCGTGAACCCTTGAGCAGTAGGTTCAGAGAAGGCGTAACGTGCCCTCCGTTCCGTTGCAGCCTGGTCCCCGTGTCCGAAGCAAGCGTTGTCATCGCCGTGTCCTCGGCCCACAGGGCTGCGTCCCTCGGAGCCGTGAGCTACGCCATCGACGCTCTGAAGGCCAAGGTGCCCGTGTGGAAGAAGGTACCTGGGGGAAGCTCCCGCCTCTGCCTTGGCCGGGGATTTCTGAGCACGAGAGCACGTGCAGAGTTTGTGCACATGCGTCTCCCCGACTTGCTAACTCCTGTTTTCTTAATCTGAGAAACGGTGTTTATGTAAAACTAGAGGCCCGATGCACAAAATTCCTGCAAGGGGCCTGCCCCCCGCCCGCTGCAGCGGCCGCCTCTGCCTCAGCCCTGCAGCCTCGGCTTCGTCCGGAAGGTGGTCTGGTGGTCATAATTAGCATGTTATGCTTTTATTATCTAGGATCTTTTTTCCAAGGTTTGTTAACCATGAAAAATATACGCCCCCAGAATGCACAGCACGGACCCGGCCTCCACAGTGTAAGCCGGGATTCCCAGGCTGCCGGAGCCCTCGGGTTAGGGTTCCCTGAACAGGGGGGTCTCCTGTGCAGAGTGGGAATGGTGTGCAGCTACTCGGGCAGTTGCCAGCACAGAAATTCTTCAAGGCACTAGACCTCCCAGGGCTCCATCCTTTTAGAAAAAGAAGAGAAAAGGGTGGAGAAAATGCCCGGTGAGTGATAACCATGTCAGTACGTACCGGCTCTCTGTGCCCAGCCCCGCAGTGAGCGCAAACCGGTCTCTGGTCATAGAGCCTCTCCCCCACTAGCGGCAGCGGCAGCGGCTGTCTGTGCTCTCGGCGGCCAGCACCCAGGTGGGGCTGTAGCAAAGTGCGAGTCGCTGGGGGGCGGAGGGACAGCAGCCAGGGCCGGGGACCAAGGCAGGGGCCCCTCAATGTCCATGACGACTGGACCTGACTCACCTGAGGGATGTAGCCACCAGGCTTTTCGAATGGAAACTGAAGCCCCTTGTTAAAGGGGAAACTGGGATGAGAGGCCGTGAGTGTGAAGGGACCCTGGCTTAGTGCAGCTCAGATGTCTGGGTGTTTGCTCTGAACCAGGCCACAGTGTCCATAGATTGGGGGAGGCGCCTGAGAAGGGAGTCAAGGGCACCCCACAGTGAGGGCACCCCACAGTGAGAGCACCCCACAGTGAATCGTGAGCCTGGGGCAGGGGAAGGGGACAGCCCACAACTGCAGGTGATCGGGTGGCCTCCAAAGAAGGCCCTGGGCGGGGGGGGGAGGGTCCAGGTGTCCAGAGGACAAGTAGTGTGGGTTTCTGTTCCGACGGCAGAGGAGCTGGCTAGAGAGTGAGTAGGGAAGGTGGCCTGTCCTTCCAGAACATGTGGAAACGTTGGTCTGGTCCTAGTCGTGGCCTGTGCTTCGAGGTCGTCTGTGGCGCAGGCGCAGGTGGGCAGGCAGACGCCACCTGCACCCAGAGCAGCTGTCAGCTGTGCGGAGCTTCTGCAGGGTCACCATGTCACAGGCTGAGCCCCGCTGCCTGGGGACCAGCGCAGTTAGAGCTGTGGGAGCAGCAGGTGTGTTTGGAAAGGAAAATGCTTAGAACTGAAGACCCCGCCTCTTCTGCCTGCCCGGCTGTCCCTGTGCTGGGCCCCAGGGAGTCTGTCCCTTATTCTGCCCCGTCTGCTCCCCTCTGGGTTGGCGTCCTTATGTGGAGGGGACGTGTTCGTTCCTTTCTCTGCTCGCGGTGCCGAGATAACGTCCCGGGATGTGGAGGGAGGAGCAGATTTCAGGAGGTGATGTCCATCTCCCTCGCTGCTCAGATCTGTCTGCGTGTATTCAGGTGCTTCGTGTTGAATGCCTGTTATGCTTCTGTCTTTTAGGAAATATACGAAGAATCGTCATCATCTTGGAAGAGAAACAAAGAATGCTTTTGGGCAACCAGCGACTAAATCACTCACGTTGGTGAAGTGGCCGCCTGACCTTGGACCACATTCTGATTTTCCTTCTCCAGAGCTCGGGAGAGTTTAGGGTGAGGACTTACGCTGGAGCTAGAGAGAGGGACCGCCTTTAGGGGAAACGGAAGAATAATTTAAACGCGAGGAAAGATGTCAGCGGCAGACAAATGAACTCATGACTAATGATTGTAACTGGACTCACGAGTCTGTCTCAGAACCCATCCCCCCAGCCCCCACCCCATAGCCAGGGTGCCTCTTGGTGCTGGCTGAAGGGCGCACAAAGTCATTACTGGACAGTCATGATATATTTTCAGAATTTATATATTTAAAAAGTAAACCAAATAAACATGATTAAAAACGTTTATGAGCAGCATTTTTCTGTAGTTAAAATTCAGTACTAAGACACAAAACATGTATTTCATACTATGGCGATGTCTAGGATTTCAGAATCTATCATCTCACAATTACTTACTAGATTTTATAAGTTCTTAGTGTTGTATCCGTATACAAATCAGCATGAAGTCGCGGTAAAACCAGGGTAATTGACTAGCAACAAGGTTCCTTTGGGTTACACTGTTCGTTGATATTTAAAATTTGACCCTCGGCCGGCCAGCTCTGCAGTTGAACATCAACCAGGAGGTCCCGGTTCGATTCCTGGTCAGGGCACGTGCCTGGGTTTCAGGCTCAATCCCCAGTCAGGGGCGTGCGGGAGGAGCTGGTCAATGATTCTTCTCGTCCTTGATGTTTCTCTCTCTCCCTCTCCCTTCCTCTCTAACATCAATAAAATAAAAATAAATCTGATCCACAGCCACTGAAAAAGGAGAATGATGGTGTTTATTAAAGCACTTTGAGATAGGATCCCTTTCAGCTGCTCAGGCAGCATCGCCGTCAGGGAGGTCCCTAATGAGCACCTTCTCTGCAAGGTCTTTGTCCTGAACAGAGGCCCAGCCTCCTGCGGTCACCTGTGTACTGTCTTCAGGGACAGGAGTGTATGACCTCCTTATCGGCCTTAAAGCAATAAAACATGGACGTAATTTCAGGCGACTGGCACCACAGGATTCGCATTATGCATGTTGGGAACGAAGACTAGACTTGCAGACACAGATTGACTGCATTCGGGGTGATATGACTTGTTCCATCTAGTGAGACATTGTTAGCATAAGGAATTCGCTTTTCCAACCATCCCTGCCTGCCTGCTTGGTGCCAGACACCCAGCTGGTGGTCCCTGCCCCCGACCCTCACATGCAGGGGAAGGGCCTGCAGGCTGCCACTTCCTGGGCTGCAGGAGCCACGCTGGCGCCAGGAATCCCCGGTCAGCCAGGCTTTTCCCGCCTGTCGATCCAGAGAAACTGGGCTGACGGACCCGGAAGGCAGACACACCCTCCCCTACTCTCCCTGATCGCCCGGCCTCAGCCTTGCCATCTCTGGACTCATGCTTCCTTCTTCCGCCCACTACATTTTAGCCCCTTAGGAGAACAAGATGGTGTCATTCATTCTGAAAGCACATTAGCGTGGAGGTACGGGCCCCTGTAGATATTCCCAGGGCTTTGTACCTGGATTGTTAATATGTTTATGCATTAAAGCCCCGATGCACGAAATTCGTGCAAGAGTAGGCCTGCCTTCCCCCGCTGCCAGCATCGGCTTCCCTCTGGCCGCCGGCAGGGCAGGCACCGGAGACCTGGGCTTCCCTCGCAGCCCCAACTTCGTCAGGAGGGCCATTTGGAAGGATGTCTGGTCTAATTAGCTTGTTACACTTTTATTATTATATATGACTTCACTTATATGTGGAATCTAAAACACAGACTCAGATACAGAAAACAAACCAGTGTTTACCAGCGGGAGAGGGGATCTGGGGTGGATGAAATAAGTGAAGGGATTAAGATGTGCAGATTTCTAGTTATAAACGTTATGGGGATGTAAAGTACCGCCGAGGGAATGTAGTTGATGATACTGTAACGCCTGTGTATGGCCACGGCCACCGCTGGTGCAGGGATTTGGGCAGGATTGGTTTGTGTGCTGTCGTTAGGTAGGTCTGCCAGCAGGGGGCAGTAGGTTCTGGGCTATAGGCAAAGCAACTTGTGTGAGATTTTTCTTACCTTTATTTTGCACAGAACCCCAAAGTGCAGTTTGGGTAGTAGCCTTTTTTATTTTAATAAGTTGGGTTGGAGTGGGCCTTCGATGAAAATTACTCCCTGGTTTTGAATGAGATGATTTTCAATCTTTAATTGGAATCTTAGTTTAGAATATTAAAGGGTTATGGTAGAATGAGGGAGTTTTTAAAAATGCTGTTTGTAGTAACATCCTCAGGTGAGGATTAACTAACTAAATACATTTTAAAAAATGAATAAAAACCACCTCAGGAGAGGGTCAGAAATAATGAAAACAAACTAAACCCATAAAGCCTGAATGGCCAGTGAACAGCTGAGAAAAATGCTCAATCCCACCAGGAACCAGGGACCAGGGAGACATCAGTTACAACACAAGATGTCATTACACACCCACCGGGTGGGCAGAAATAACAAAGCTGACATCACAAGTGCAGAGGAGGTCAGGCGGCCCGCACACTGCGGGTGGGAGGGAAACCAGCGCAGCAGCTTTGAAAAGAAGAGAAAAAGAAACGAATGTTCTCTCCCGGAGTTGTGTTAATGCCCGGAGCTCACCAGACACACGTGTGTGTGTGTGTGTGTGTGTGTGTGTGTGTGGTGTGCACAGGAAGCTGTCTTCTGACTCGGTTTCCCAGAACCGGTGGGGACGGGAAGGCGTGAGAGGTCACCTGACGCGGAGCACAGACGTCGCTGTGAATGGCAGCACCTGGGAGTGAACGTGCCGTCCGTCCGTCTGTCCGACCGGCCAGTCTGTGGGCCTGAGGCGCATCTGGGCTTATGATTTCCGCACATTCACGTCAGCTTGTTTAATCCTTAAAAATGAAAATACTCAGCCCTCCTGCTCGCTACCGGGATTAGAAAACAGCTACGCGGACGTGCAGGCGCAGCAGCTGCTGGCTCTCCTGCTTCCCTCGGCACAGGCTCCGCTTCAGCTCAGCTGTGCGGCCAGTGCCCGGAGGGAGTGCGCCGGTCCCGCTAAGCTGCCGCCCTGGGCCCGAGAGCTCGGGTGGCGCCTCAGGTCTGACCGTGGAGCCGGCTCAGGGTCTGGGGGCTGACCCTGGAGCCGGCTCAGGGTCTGGGGGCTGACCCTGGAGCCGGCTCAGGGTCTGGGGGCTGACCCTGGAGCCGGCTCAGGGTCTGGGGGCTGACCCTGGAGCCGGCTCAGGGTCTGGGGGCTGACCCTGGAGCCGGCTCAGGGTCTGGGGTCTGACCGTGGAGCCGGCTTAGGGCCCAGGGTCTGAGGTCTGACCCTGGAGCCGGCTCAGGGCCCGGGGTCTGGGGTCTGACCGTGGAGCCGGCTCAGGGTCTGGGGTCTGACCGTGGAGCCGGCTTAGGGACCAGGGTCTGAGGTCTGACCCTGGAGCCGGCTCAGGGCCCGGGGTCTGGGGTCTGACCGTGGAGCCGGCTCAGGGTCTGGGGTCTGACCGTGGAGCCGGCTCAGGGCCCGGGGTCTGAGCTCTGACTGTGGATCAGGCCCAGGGCCTGTGGCCGGGGAGCGGACTGGTCAGTCGCTGCTGTGCAGGACTTTAAGGTCCCAGACGCTGCTCACGCCGGTGGCGGGAGAGGAGGGCAGCCCTCTTGCTGAGTTGGGAGTGAGTAGGAAGACAGTGACACACAGGAGCGTGAAGTCCAGAATCCCCGGCGAGCGCTGTTTCTAAAGGACTTCCGTTTACTCGGTCAGGCGGTGTGGACAGAGGGTTACAGTCACATGACATTGTCCGCTTCGCACACTTTAGCAGGAGCACGGCCCCGAGTCGATACTGCAGATCACTCCTCCAGTGGATGCTTCTCGAAATCAGGTGAGTCTACAGCTTTATGTACACACACACACACATACACACACACGTACATGCGTTTTCATAGTTTTGGTCGAGAGGAAAGACAAAAACTAGTTAATCAAAAACAATAACCATGTTACATCTTAGTACAGATTTATACATTAATATAGGAAAGCATCCAAGACAATTTGCCTTTAAAAAAATATACAATTCTCATATAATTGTGCAACATATACATTTATATTTTGCGTTTATCTGCCAAAATACATCTGGTACAGATGAAACCATCTCTTTATATTTACACAACGGCTACCTTTTTATTCTTGAAGGTTCATAGTTACATTTTTATTTCAAAATTTACCCCGTGTGTATGACCTTGGCCTCTAGGGGTCCATCTGGCATTGACACAAATGGGTGTCTCTCTACAGGAGGGCGTGCCCTACAGCTGTGCACGCGGTGACTTCCCTGTGCAAACTGGAATGCGAGAGACGGACGGGAGTTCAGTCTGAGGAGTTTGCTTATGTCTTAACTTATGAGCGTTTCCTACATGGGGTAAAGCTGTATGTTAGGACAAGTACACTATAAAGAACTTCTGTGGTAACTTTTAGTATAATCACCTGTGTGATACACTAAGTTGGTTCACCTTTTCTTTGCTCTCCCGCTAAGGGAGACGGTTACTGTTTTATGAAAAGGACTCCGCCAGCGAGAGACCCTCTGTGCAGCTCCACGTCCTCGCTTTCTGCTAACAGCTCAAGGCCCAAGTTCGAGTCTGCAGTTTCCTCACAAACTGTTCAACTCGGTTCCTGTTTGCAGGCTGAGCAGCCCTGCCTACAGGGGTCCTGCCTACAGCGGTCCTGCCTACAGGGTCCTGCCTACAGGGTCCTGCCTACAGCGGTACTGCCTACAGGGTCCTGCCTACAGGGGCCCTGCCTACAGCGGCCCTGCCTACAGGGTCCTGCCTACAGCGGCCCTGCCTACAGGGGCCCTGCCTACAGGGTCCTGCCTACAGCGGTCCTGCCTACAGGGGCCCTGCCTACAGGATCCTGCCTACAGCACCGTGTCTCGGTCGCACTCAGCAGGCCTTGCCTGGGCACCGTTTATGACATGGACACTCCAAGTGGCATCTTCTAAGCCCTACACCATATTTCGTCTCCAAACAAAAGTGTGGCTGAACAGGAATACAAAACTTCTTCAACAAGGTTTTTTTCCTTTTATAGAAAATATCTTTTATTGATTTCAGAGAGGAAGGGAGAGGGAGAGAGAAATGGAAACATCAATGATGAGAGAGGATCATGGATCGGCTGCCTCCTGCACACCCCACACTGGGGATGGAGCCCACAACCCGGGCTTGTGTCCCGACTGGGAATGGAACCTGGACCTCCGGGTCCATAGGTGGACGCTCACACCGGCTGGTTCTTTTCATTTCTCTGATGAATATTCACCTTTGCTTAAAAGTGCTTGCTAAGTGCTCGTCCATCGGTAAATGCAGCCTCTGCCTCAGACCACCGATCTGATCGCAGAAGCCGTGTTCAGGCAGGTGTGGTTAGCAGCGGTTCCCAATCTGGGTGCCTTGGTCCCCCGAGGCCTCACGAGGGCTGGAGACAGTCTGGTATCACCACTAGGGGCAGCCTGCTCCCAGCCTGGGCAGCGAGAGGCCCAGGAAGCTGCGGACCATACCACAGGGCACAGGACGCCCGAGGACATCACCGGGCCCCAGGCATCAGCAGCGCCCAGGCCACACCTGACTGTGCCGCATGGTGCGGAGCCAGGAGGCACGTTGGTCAGTCTCCGGGAGCCTAGCCCCTTCGCAGGAAGAAGGCAGGAAGGCCTCTCCCTGGTCTTGCCCGAGCTCCTGCCCTGCGTGCATGACAGCAGCTTAGCGCCCGGTTAAGGAGGCGGCGAGGCCGAGGAAAGCACCCCTAAGCACCTCGAGGAACCAGTGCGTCTGTACAGTCACGTGGTCCATCAAAATCCTGTCACCTCGTGGCCAGTCTCCTCCACGCTGCTTCTCAATAAAACTTTATTGGGATGAAACAGGTTTCGTCCAAATGGCTGTTCCGGGAATGGGGCTCCGGCACTTCTCACTGGAGAACACCAGCCATTTTTGCTGTAAACCCGACACTATGGTTGTTTTTTCTTCTTCGTTTGGTCAAATACAAAGTAAACTACTGACCTGCATGCCGGGGCCTGGCTGCCACGGACGGGGCCAGGCCAGACTCCTCCCTGACTTCTTCTCAAAGTCAGAGCCTTGAAGGACTATTTGTGTTATAAAAACCCAGGCCCCAGACTTTTATTTTTTATATATATATAAATATTATTGATTTCACAGAGGAAGGGAGAGGGAGAGGGAGAACCATCAATGATGAGAGAGAATCATTGATGGGCTTCCTCCTGCATGCTCTTCTACAGGGGATCGAGCCCGCCACCCGGGCCAGTGTCCTGACCGGGTATCGAAGTGACCTCCT